TTCATTAAGGCATTTTTATGGACCTATATGTAGCCTGAGTATTAGAATGAATTCAGCATATTATAGTAAATATACCTCGAAGCTTTTGCACGTCTATAACTTCTCTCTCTCTCTTTTTTAAAAAAAAAAAAAACATTTTTATTATCTTAGCAAAGCTAATAATCTGCTTCCTTCGTTTTTTGACTTTTGCAGCTTGTTCTGCTGAAGCTTCCCTGTGACGCTTTTATTTTGAAGGCGGCTGCCGGATCTAGTTCGCACCAGTCTGTAACCTGCAGCTCTCTCAGTGGCACCGAGTGTGTCTCTGCCAGTTTAAACTGTGAGGGTACTGCGGAGCTGTCAGGTGAGAGTCGTCGCTGGGTAGAGCTTCACTGCCATTGGACGTCTGTGTGGAACAGAATTCACATTTTGAGTCAGTTGGATAAATCTCGGCGACACTCCTCCCTTTTTGTTTTTTTTTGTTTTTTTTGTTTTACAGAAAGGTAAGATTAAGTTCATTTACTTCTGTAGAGGTTGATTATGTAGTTAATGACTGGGCTTACTGTCCCTGTGGTTCACTGCTAATCAGCTGTCCAGATTGATTTTCAAAACAACACAATTATTTATATTAATTTTACAGCGAGGATCACTTGAAACCTAAAGATGGATGTAACTTTTATTCTAACATGCCCATAATTAGAATCATATGTACTGATAATAACTGTTAGAATTAAATCTGTATACTATTTTACATATACGGTGTAGTTATTATCTTTAATCTGTGTTGCTTTGGAGTACTAAACATTTCCATAGTTGCTCTACATGTTGCAGCAAGTTGTGTCTCGCCCACTTTGGATTTTATCTTGACCCTACTAACTTATCTTTTTTTCTTTCCACTGGCTCTATAGTTCAATAAGTTTACATCCATGCCACACATGTTAAGGCTTTCTAAAATGTAGAAACTTTATTTGAAACTGCTTCATCACATGACTGAAAAACAGCAGCTGGTGCTTTTAACATTTTTTGTAGTTTCTCATTTTCTGTCTTTCTCCGAATAAGGAAGCTGAGATGTTTACACTATCCACCTCCTCTTTGTTGAAAGTGAGGCTCAGATGTTGTAGCTTTCTGCCTGTTAAATCTCAACATTCCTTCTCTGTTTTCTCTCTCAGAGTTCCCGCTGGTTGTCCACGATGTACTCTCTGAGGAAGGTGTCTTGTAGGTAACGCTGGATCATCACAGTGGGCTGTGACGTGGAGATGGTCACTCTGACCGCCTTGCTGACAGTATGCATATGGATACAAACACAAACCGCCTCAGGACAGCACCGGTGTCCCTCTGCTCCTCCCAGGCTGGTGGATTTCACCGTGACATATTCCCTCCCCTACTTCCAAGCAAACCAATCCATACAGAACATCGAAGTGAACCGGTACGTGGAGCCGACAGAGCTGTACGTCGCGTGCCAGAATGTGATAATAGCAGTTAACGATACCTTGCAGACTAAATGGGAGGTGACAACTGGACCTATTGGCAGTCCAGAGTGTGAGACCTGTCAGGTGTGTGACGTAGAAGTTGACCCCGAGGATCCAGTGGATACAGACAACCAGGTTCTGCTGTTGGATCCTGATGGATTTTTCTTGCCATACTTGTACTTTTGTGGAAGCACTCAGCATGGAATCTGTTACTTTATTGACATTGGCGCGCCAAAGCCTGAGGCTAAGTGTTTATACAAAAAAGAGCGAAACTCTCCAACCGACTGTCCGGACTGTCTGGCCAGCCCACTTGGCACCAAAGTCACCATCGTTCTGCAGGGAGCTACGTCGCTCTTCTTGACTGCAGCCTCCGTCAACAGCACGGTGGCGCAGAGGTATCCCAGGAGGTCCATATCAGTGATGAGGCCACTTTCAACCGAAGATGGCTTTGAAATGAGAATGAATGTCACGGTGCTCCCCAGCCTACGTGACTCCTACAGCATTGACTACATATACAGTTTTTCCACCACGGACTATGTCTACTTTCTGTCCCTGCAGAGGGAAAATCCCTCCAAGAGCAACTCCACTTTTCAGACTCGTCTGGGACGTCTGCCTCTTTCGACTCTAGAGATGTGGATGTACAGAGAGGTGGTTTTGGAGTGCCGGTACGAACCAAAGCGCAGGAGACGGAGCGAGGCTTTCAGGGACATTGTGTATAACGGACTACAGGCTGCATATTTTGGCCGAGCGGGGAAGGACTTGGCCGACGAGCTGACGGTGCACGAGACTGAAGATATTCTTTATGGGGTGTTTGCGGAGGTGAATGAGCGTGGTCAGCCTCAGAAAAACTCAGCCCTGTGCGCCTTTCCTTTGACCAAAGTCAACTATGCGATCGACAGAGGCGTGGACGCCTGCTGCAAGCACAGCACGGAGCAGCTGTCCAGAGGCCTCTGCCACTTCCAGCCATGTGAGAGCTGCCCACATGAAGTGAGTAACCCTTCTAATGTCATCAGAGCGGTACGAAGGTCAGCGTACACCCAGACGGGAAGTGACCTGTCCAGACAAACATTGTGTAATGAAGTCACCTGTGAGCAGAGCAGCGGAGCTCACAGGTTTATGTGCTGAGCAATAAAGGATAGTATATTATAAGAGACGCCGCAGGAAAGTAAACGTTGCATGTTAATATATTTTATACCCGTGACAGCTTTGAGGAAGGTGTGTGTGTGTGTGTGTTGTGTGTGTGTGTGTGTGTGTGTGTGTGTGTGTGTGTGTGAGAGAGCAGGGCCACATGAGAGAACAGGGAGGGGTGGATGAGTCAGTACGTGACCTGCACATTGCCACACCATTCCTCCGCTCGGTTTCCGTCTTAAGTTTCCGTCTTTGTAAGAGGAAACTGTTTACTTTGCAAAGCTCGGATATGAAAAAATAGTTTCATCAGATAAGATTTAATGCTCCTTCAATACCACTAAGTTAAATGTTTTCTTCGATTTTCCTTTCCAAACCTGTCAGAACTCCTGACTGACAAGAAAAGAGGCGTTGAAGGGTGAAAGATGGGCTCGGTAGGTTAAATCCTAAAAACCTGACATGCAGACTTTCACTTGTTAAAACACCTGGAATCTGGCCTCGGTTCCTGACGTTACAGAAAAAAAATAAAATAAAGGTGTGGTCTTCTCCCTTTATGGAGTTCAATCTGTGTCCTTTGAGCTCTCACAGACGTGTGCACACCTACAGGAATGTGTGCCAACAAACACAAGTTATAAATCGTGCTGATAAAAAAAAAGGTGGAATTTTAAAGGGGAGGGTCAGTGTTGGGCCGTGCCTGTCTTTTACGCATTTGTGGGGAAATAGGAAGAATGTTCAACAAGTCCTCAATCAGTACACACTGTGTGAAGGAAAAAATCATAAAGCTGTCTTTAAAATGTATACTTGGGATTTCTAAGAATGGGGTACGTGCAGTATAATGACTGTGTGTATTCAGGCCTGACAGTTGAACTTAAAAGTGACTGAAAGGATCAAATTGTGTTAATTTTAAGCGTTGGAGTGGGAAGCAAAGCGGGGCATGCCGGGGCAGGTCAGCTCAATTACTGTGCACTGGAATGTTTACCGTTAGTTTAACATATCCTGTCTTTTTGGAGTAAACACCTTCTTTTGACCGGCGTGACTCACGTTCTGCTACCCGGCCATTTACACGCCGTCACCTACTCTTTCATGTGTAGAAAGTCCAGTTTTAGTAGCTGCACTGAGAAACAGTCGCTGCTGTTTGACGACCTGCCCTCTGTCAGCGTGTTACTATGGCTGGAGGCGAGGCTGGAGCACTTCCTCTTTTAATGAATGAATCAAGAGTCTCTGCTTATTCTTTCTATCCCTCCTCTTGTCACGCACAAGTTTATGCACGCATACATTTGGTATATATCTGCTCAGAAGGAGGCCTGTGCTGGTTGAGGCAGATACAGGGATAAGCTGAAATCTCAAGAATATGAGTTCCTGTCGTTGACTGTGTGTAAATGTGGTTCTCCAACTCGCGCAGAGCAATGAAGGGAATGACGCTTGCACTGCCAAGGCCACCCTGGTCTCACAGCCCTACTACAGGGTTGACCTCTTCAACAGCCAGATGAGAAATGTGCTGTTCACCTCCATCCTGGTCACCACTATTGGGAACAACACGCTGGGACATTTTGGCACCTCGGATGGCCGGATACTGCAGGTAACCAGATGTCAGTGGTGCTGTCATTAGTGGTGCTAGTGAGTGTGAATGTTATGAAACTAAGACTCCTTATAACCTCTCTGTTTCGCTGCTTTAGGTGATTCTTACGCTGTACAGGCCGATTGTTTTTGCCAATTATTCACTGGGAGAGACGGCGGTGTCCAGAACAGCAGCCGTGTACTCCAAAGAGTCGCTTCTGTTTGTGGTTGGAAATAAGGTAAATGTTGTAATACCTGCAACAGGTACTGCTCCTCTTTGGACAGTTTTTTTTCTAACTTACCCCACCCTTGCCTTACTCTCTGCCTGATCCAGATGTTCAGGGTGCCCTCTGCAGGACCTGGGTGTTCACATTTCATGACATGCTCCATGTGTTTGACGGCTCCACGCTTCATGAACTGTAGCTGGTGTTCAGGAATCTGCTCGAGGAGGCAGGAGTGTGCCTCGCAAGAGAACAAAGACTCTTGTGCACCTGTCATAACCGAGGTAAATCTGCACCTAGGTGTAACTGATTGGCCACTGCACCAAGTTTAAACAGAATGACTCATAAAGTTGATCATAGTGACTGTACTAGCTGTACGATAAAACTTCTGCTTGCAGTTTTTCCCAAAAACGGCTCCTGCCGGTGGCGAGACTGAGTTGACGCTGTGCGGTTCAGAGTTTCAGTCTCCTCTGAGACCGGCCATCATCAGCGGCAAGACCCACATCATCACGGTGGGTTCTGGAGCCGTGTGTTCTGTCCTGCCGGAGAAGAGCAGTAACAACAGGTGAGAAGCACGTTGTGTTGGAAGTACTCCACATGAACACA